ATAGGAAAAAATGTAGGCAAATCATTATTCTGAAGCTTCACCTCAGAACTACAAAAGAAATTCAGATTCTACTTTCTTGATACTCAATGAAGAGCACGAAATCCAACATGAATATGACGCTGTAAAGCATGTTCTGTGTAGATACCTTTACGTTATCCTAACATTACGACCCTACGACGACTCCCAGGGAATATATTAATAAATAACTTTTATATAACTTTGCTTTAGAATGGGGTCAAGTCATTAAATCAAAATAACGGACATAAATGCTAACAGAAAAAGTAATGTTTATTATAAATATAGTTCAAAACTATGTAGTGAATTTTCTTTCATAATACTGACATGTATTAAAACGCATTTTTAAAGTTTAATATTTAACGGACAGCTCCGAACTAGTTTTCAAATTACATTGTTTTCCAAATGCTTTAAACGAATATTTATTAAAATATTGAAGCATATGTAAGAAGTATAGTTTTCGTCGTTTGTTTGTATACACTGGTTAGTGTACAAACGAAGTTTTCGTCGTTTGTTTGTATGCACTAGTACTCTATGATGATGTTTGAATTTGTTGTGTATTTTAATATTATACAGTAGGTAGTAATGAAATTGACTTTACGGATGTTTATAATTTGAAAATGTCTTATTTAATTTGATGAAACGGGTCTCTCGTCAGTGCGTTGGAAAAGCGGCGCGGCGGGGCGGCGGCCGAGCGCAGCAGCGGGCGGCAAGGCCCGGGAAGCGGCAAGCGGCAGGCTGCGCCGCGCAGGCCGCCGCGCGGCCGCGGAGGCCACCGCCCCAGCCCGCGCTCTCCGCGGCCCGCGCCTCGCGCGCCCGCGCCGCTGCCCCGACCCACGGCGGGCGACACCCTCGCGCACTTCGCACCCTCCCTCGCACACTGACGAGAGGGCGAGCTCGCATTTCCCTCTTGCGCCCGCTCGCCGCCCTGTCGGAACGCGTGGCGTCACGCCGACTTTTAGCTCTTGTTCGTTCGGGTTCCGTTGGGCACGCTGGAGATTAATTCGCCCGGTTCTCCTTAAAAGCACCCGTTTGCGGAAAAGTACACGCCCTTTTGGTTTTAATATTTTACTGGAGATTAAAAATGACTCGATTTGTCCTGTGTTTTCTACCAAAACGAAGAAAATAATATAATTTAGGAAACGGAATGTTGAAATTTAAATATCAATATATTCAAATGTCACCACTTCGCCAGTCTATTGTGATATTGTAGAAAGATAATTAAATTAGACACTTCCAAGTGTTGAAATAAAATTCGAATAAATGCTGTCGTGAAATATAATTCGCATTCGTGGGACTAGTATAAAAGTAACTATACTAATTTCAAATTGTTATAATGAAAATATATCAAAAATATACTCGTCATTCAGTAAAAGTAAAATCATAGAAAGAAACACTTAAACAGAATAAAAACTTCTGAAACACTTAAACGGAAAAGAATTCTTCTGTTTTACACCGGGGAAAGTTCACAAGTGAACTTCAACAAATGAAATTATCGAAACAAACAAACAAACAAGCAAAACAGCCAACCAAATGTTCTGTACTCTTCCCCAATGAGATTCATCACAACGAGTCTAATCTAACGAGGAGATTTGCCAGGCAACGTGAGCGGTTGCGTCCGCGATCAGCGCGGCGTGAGCGGCGCGGCGGCGGCGGAGGCAGCCGGGCCTTGGGCGGCGGGGCCCCGCTCGGAACCCGGCCAAGGCGCCCTCCGCGGCCTCGACGCCTCCCGCGCGCCCCCACTCCCACGCCTTGGGCAATCGGAAGAGCTACGCCACCCGAAATGTCCCCATGGAGCTGCAACTACTGCTACCATGAGCGAAGCGAATGATTTAGAATTGCATTGCGCCGTAAAATTTGAATTGATTTGAACACGTAAACTTTCAAAGAACACATGTTACACGAAATAATACTAACATTAAAATTTGACAGCGTTTTTTGAGATATAAACAGTACGACATGATGATATAGTTAACACAGATTGAAGTAAAATATAATGTAATTTTTTAAATGTATTACTTCTGCAAAAAAAGGTTATAAGTTTAAATTATTATTAATGTGTACTATTAAAAGCAACTATAAAATATATTTGCTATTAGAAATTTCATTTGAAGTAAATGTAGAACATGTGAAGGTTTTGCTAATTTGGGTCTTTTTTGGTATCTTTTGGTCTAATTTGGGTATCTAGTGGCAGAAGTAAGCCAAGACAAAATAAGATCATGACTAGTGGAGAATAACACAATGATAAAATAGAGTAGAAGACATAACTATAGATTTCCGCAGTTATTGTGCATCAAAAAACATTTCAACAAATAGACCAATATTCAATTTGCAGTAATTGATTGGATATTGTCATTTAATATAATTAATTCCGTCATTTAATATTGTGGGCAAATTTCTTAGAACTGGGTTCATTATCAAACATAAAAACTATCAACTGTAACTGCATTATTTTGTTCATACTGAACACAATATAATATTGAGATACTTGTCAAAGTTCAGAGACAAATTTCGTTTCATGAGTCAACGAATTTTCTTCTATCGATAGAGAAACTGTATGGAAAGACATTTGAAAGCAATTATCTATCAGGTCCTCAAAGTGGAAATCTTATAAATGGCAGATTTTTTGAGTCGATTTATTTATCTGTTATTAAATTACACATTTCATTGTCAACTGATTTTTAAAACTCTGAAAATTTAGTTAATTGTGCATGAATGTGTGTGTGTGTGTGTTTTGTGTGTATGTGTGTGTGTGTATGAATTAGGTTCAATGAACAGAATTAATTTAGCACTAACACGAATGTCTTTTTCCTTAAATGGCTACGCATGTCGAATAATACCTACCACAAACTAACGGGTTTTATATTTTATATCCATAAAATTTAACGGCAAAATTAATTGAATTGTTATAATACTCAGTTCGACATGTGGCAAACCACAAGTCTATTACTGTCATCCGATTCAAGAGAGCGCTCTCCACGCCGCCACATGCTTTCCGAGCTCACTGAAACAGATGCGTGGAAGAACTGTGAAAAAGCCACTTTACACAAACTGCGAATCAATTAGCCCTAAGTGGCTGGGCGCGCGGCGCAGGTGATCGGGCGATTTTCCGCGTCATCCAGTCACGTGCGGCGCCTCCTCGCCCGAGCCCTTCTGACGCGCGCCGCCTGCCCTCCGTAATTTTTGTTTAACGGCGCAGTAGCAACAGCTGGTTTCTTCGGGCGGATTTTACTCGCAGGTGCGGCGCTTCAGAAACGGATGCAATGACTTGTAATAGTTGCGGTTAGTTTGTTCGTTTTTGTAGTGACAGATTTTAAATTGTTAGCTCGCTACTGATCTGATACGTCAATATTGCGATGAAGACATTGGAGTTTTTGTGTTTTGGAAGATGTCAAACCTCCAGTGAAATGTTAACTATGTTTTTATTCCGTATAAAATACTACGAATAGAGTAACATATCCAAGAATACTTCCCGTGAAAGTCTACACATATGCTCTCAAATATTAGCAATATTTTACATGAGGCATTGGTTGAGAAATTATTTGGCAATATATTAAAGACATAGCAAAAATTAATTGACAACGAATACCTATGCGAAAGAAAATGTAATTAATATCCTGTTCACAGTTAATTTCCTGTTCACATTAATATCCTGTTCACAATTAATATTATAGGAAATGTTTAATGAAGAATACACAAGTAAAAATGTACCAAACTGAAATTATATCGGATATAGTTTGAAAGAAAACTCTTAAATCTTCTTTACATCGAACGCTAACCTTCCTCTTGTTAAAAATATATTTGGAAAACATCTTCAAAGAAAAAAGCCTATGATGAATCTTGGAATCTGCGACATATGATGAACCTCGAATTCTGTGTTTAATAGCATGCTGGTAAGATGAAAAAATTGCCGCAATTGAATCGATAAAATGGAGAAGTGAAATTGAAAGAAGCAATGTTGGAAACTCATTTCAATTAGAAGCTAATCTAAATTCATAGAGGTGAACTCACTGAAGTCAGGACTGAGGACAAATGATTCGGAATTCGAAATAAATTATATAAAATGCCGAAAAGTAAAATTTATTTTCCGTTATAAAATCCTAATATTATATACATAATTTATTTTGATCTATCGTTCATTGATGTTTTATAGAACTGTCAAAATACACCATAAATAACTAGCAAACGGTTCACAACGGCAAAGCGTTGAAGTATCTCGTCAAGTATCTCACATCCCTCCACACGAACACCTTGCGTGCGTATGTCATAGTTAGGCTCAATTTAAAATCCATTACCACCACGAGTATTCTACGAAAGTGACGATATCAAAACGATCAGCCCCGTAGCCCTCTTCGCCAACTCGGCGGAGACCCAGGGAGAGTTGTCGGCACTTAGACGCCCCCTCCCCGATGGTATCTTCCCCTCCCCCTCCCCCTCGCCTCGCCGCGCGGCCCCGCCCCCTTGGTGGCTCGCTCGCTGGCGCGCCGCGCAGCGCCACTGAGCTCCACGCCACGCCACGCCGATCGCCTCGCGACCCCCTCGCGATACCTCGCGACACCTCGCGACACCTCGCGACACCTCGCGACACCTCGCGACACCGCTTCCCGGCACCTCGCGTATCTTCTGCGTCGGTGATTGACGTGATCCTCGGAGCACTGCGACGCACCGGCACTCGACTGCGGCTGGGCACTCACATACACACACGCGCTCACGCACACTCCCGCACTGCCGCAGACGACACACGGGGGCCGCGCTGCTGATCCTCGCTGACGGCTGCAGGGCGATGACCTCTCCCCCGCTGCTGAACCCTGCGCCTTTCGATGTCCATCACGACGGCTGCTCCGTCGATCTCGCAGTATTTCCCGCGGCGCCGGACGTCAAGCTCCACGGAAATTTCTTTCTGCTTTACACGTGTCGCGCGGATTCTTCCTCCGGAATGCTCCCCGGGGAATTTCTGTGGGTTGTTGTCTCGCCTGGCGCTGATGTCACGCGGCATCAACAGCGGCCGAGGACTTGGTTCTTTTCGTCCCTGCCGGCGAGGAGAGGAACGTCCCGAGGGATGAGAGTAATCTCCAATTAGATTCTCGAGATGCCACGACAGGTCCGGAGGGTCCCCTTTTTTTCTCGAGCGGATGCCGTAGCGGCGTGACCAGCGACGAGCCACCGGAGCTGCGCGCCGGCGGCGGCGGCGGCGGGAGCGTCCGTCTCCGTCGTGACGTCATGCGTTGATTGGGCGCCGGGGGCGCAGTCTGGTGGCGGAGCTTGTTTCGTCCCCTTCTGGCGCCGCCCGCTGCTTATCAGCCTCTCGCGGGGCGGCCGTTGTTCTTGAGACGTCACCTGCGCTGATTAGACGTCTCGTTACCGCCCGGCTGTCGCCGTCCCTCGGGGAGCGCTGGCTGCTCGTTGTGGGGGAGGGAAGCACTCGCTGCAGCAACCGGTGGAGATGACGCGTTGACGTCGTGTTGGATCGCGCCACAGAGACCGTCGGCGGTGATGTTCTGATCTCCCCCTGCAGACAGCCCGCGCCGTATCCCCAGAAGTTTGCTGAGGATCGATGACTGAGTCGATGGTGCTTCTGCTCTCGTTTGTTTTGCTTCTTCTATGTCAGCAGGTTTTTATAAGAGCTTCAACGTTCTTGATGACTTTGCGACTTTTCCCTCATTTGTTGACGATCAAAAGATTTGTTGCAGTTACTTTTTTCTTTCTTAGACGCAAGAAAAAATTTGTTCCTTTTGATGTTTGGTTAATATTATTCTTTAAGATATTGCATGTGGCAAAACGTACGAGTGATCCTTGAATGCGTTCCATATTATTCAGAAATTGATGATTTGTTTCATATTTTCTTTAACGCCGGAAATTATGTTTGGCAATCAGTCTTCAGATAAATTTTGTCGAGTGCTGCTGGTATTAGTTTTCTGACGTAAGGTCGTGTTATCCTTTCCTTGTTCGTTGGAAGTAGATCAGATTCCACAAGTTGTTTTTAATACGATTATTGTCTTCTAAATTTTCTGATACTTCTTTCCTTTCGTCCATGTTTCTTCTCTGCCAGTACAATCGCCATCTCAATCCTTTGATCGTCCTCAGAGCGGAAAAATCCAAGTAGTCAAGTTGGTAACCCTGCACAACAGTCGTCTGGGTCGCGAAGGCCACGTGGGCAAGGCCGCGGTGCTCGGCCGCCGACACAAATCGGCGCCCTTGAGTGGATGTCGCCGCCTTGTGCATCTGCCGTCGTTGTCGCCGTCGTCTCGTCCCGCGGCGGCGGGGGGCGTGGCCGCGCGGTCAGTCGCGGGGTCGTCCGGGGTCAGGTGAGGTGGCGCGGCGCGACGCGTTCTCCGGCGGGCGGGTGGGCGGCGCACGGCGCGACGCGACGCGCCACCGGCGACGTTGGCGTCTGGCGCGTCAGAGACTTCGATGAGCGGGCGCGCCTCCCGCGCCGTCGCCCGGCGCTCGGCGCCGCTGCCCGGGGACTAGCTGTTGGCTTGACGTTGTCCGGGACAAGAATGCAACCATCACCACGTCCCATCCCAATTTTATATGTAAGTCACAAGCTGGTAGACCGAAGGAGAGGGGGTTGAAGAGAGAGGAACAGGAGGAGGAGGAGGAGGGAAAAACCTTTTTTTTCCTCTCTCCCATCAGGCAAGCAGTGGCAGTAGCAGCGAGCGAGCTGCAAGTCTCTCTACTCATCTGCAAGTCCTATAACAGAGCTAATTATCAAGTTAATATGGCCATTCTGTATGGGGAAGCAGTCGGGGCTTTCTATAGCATAAAGAGAAGGACGGAGAGGGAGCGAGCGAGGGGCGCGCGCGGCGACGGAGAGGGCGGCGCGGGACGGCGCCGCGGGCCCGACAAGGACGGCCTCTGCGATCCCGCCCGGCCGCCGCTGAGTGCGACGAGGACGGCGCTACTACATTGATATTATAAGTTGCTTCAATCGCTGTATTCATTTGTAAACTAACCAGCTTGGGTATATATTCCTGGGAAAAGCGTATAGTAGAGGCGGCGGCGGCGGCGGCGGCGGCGGCGGAGACTACGACGGTATAGCCTGATTCTCGGCCTGAGGAGCCTCGCCGGGGTAAAGCTTCGGATGTATAAAACATGCAGGACGCGCCGTGCCGCCGCCGCCGCCTCCGCCACGCTCACGCCGCCCCGCCACCGCCCCCGCGCGGGCGGTGCCCCCGCGCCCGGGCGAAGTTTGTTGTAATACCGCGAGATAGCGGCGCTGACGGCCGGTCACACCGCGCACGGCCGCGCCGCGCCGCGTGTACGCCTTCAGAAAGTGTATATACACTTCTTCATTCGCTCATGCAACTTTCATACAATTTAAAGTGCAGTTATTCAACAAAAGGGGAACGCCGCGGCGGCGGCGGCGGCGGCGGCGGGAGGGGAGAAGCCGGTGGCGGGGACCGGTGCCGAAAGCCGGCGAGAGCGGGGCGGGGCGGCGGAGCGGGGAGAGGAGAGAGTGAGAAGCGAAGAGGCGGAGTGGCGGAGAGGATTATGCACCGAATTACGCTGCGCGGAGGTGCTCGGGCGGCGGGGCGGCGGCGGCGGGAGACCTTATGCGTCGGTCCGGAAGCGGATACGGGCGGCGGGGAAGCAGACCGGCCCCCGACCCGCGCGACCGCCACTTCTCGGAAAACTGGCGAGAATTCCCGATGGGGGATTTTCTATTTATCGCCCGAGGATCAGAGCACGCTCGCGTTTACGACTTCGAGGGTAGCCGGACGAGCGACGGAGCGGCGGCGGCGGGCGCCGCCGTCGACCACCGACCACGACTCAGACCGCAACCGCCACCCGCTCGCCACCGCGCGTGCTCGAAACAAAGGCCACGCGCGCGCGTTTTATTGCCGGCGCTGTTTTGGCCGCCCGGATCATTCTGCGCGGCGCTAAGGAGTCTCAGGTCGTCGTATTGCGCGCGGGCTTCGCAGGCGAGACACTCGCGCTATCTGGCGCGCGATCGACGCCTTGTTGCATACGCGATGCGCCGCCTCATACATCCTGACGACTGCGGTGGCGGGCGGGGGCGGGGCGGTGGAGCGGTAAGGGGCGCGGGCGGAAAAGTTAGCAGCGAAGAAGAAATGAGCGGAGCGAACGAGGAGGGAGCGGCGCGGAGCGGGAGAGAGGCGCCGAAGAGCGAGAGCGACGGTCGGGAGGTGTTGATGTGCAAGGGTGCGGGGGCGCGGGCGCGGCGGCGGCGGCGGCGGGCGCGGGGGGGCGTCGGAGGAGCTACTGGCGGATGGAAGCGGAGAGGGAGCAAGGCGAGGCGAGGCGAGGCGAGCCATGCCAAAACATATTCATTTATACATTCATTCATTTCAGCGGGCGTCTAGCTAACGCAGGCGGCTGGCGCGTACTTGCTGGCGGAATAATATCAAAATCTGAATATAAAATAATGATAATACATATATGGATGGACAGTCGGGGCGTGCTGACGGTGGAGCCCGAGCTCTGGCTACCGCCGCCTCCGCCCGCGGTCTGCCCGCTGCCCTGCGTCCGCCCACGGCCCCCTGCTCCGGCCCCCGCCTCGGCCCGGCTGCGGTCATTACTCGGCGCGCCCCTCCCGTCTTGCCGCCCGGCGGCGGAGCGGGGATAGCCACGGGCCACTCCACGCCCGGAGGGCTTCGCACCTTATCAAAGGCGTGGCGGGGGCGGCCTGTGACTCGGGAGGGGCAGGTTGATGAGACAATGACGAGGTCACGAAGCTAGGAGGAATGTGGGGTGTGACAAGAGTTTGAGGTACAGGGATTCATTGTGTAAATAACGTGTAAAAAGAAAAAATAAAGAATGTGTATTTTAAGATGCACAAAGCATTTAAAGGTCACCTCTATTGGATAACTTCAAAGAGATAAGTGAGAGATTTACAAAACTGCAAGCTTCGGATAAAGCGATAAAACCGCCAGGGTGGAGAATCGGAGGAAAAAGTTGGTGTGGTGGTAATTCCCAGATAATATTGTGGATAAACATTTAAGAAATAGTAATGACTAATTGACTAGTACCAAAACCTCCAAATCTACTTTGCAATACATTAAAAATAATAACAAGAATGTATTTTTTCCAACTTAACGCGGCCTTGGCTTAACATCCTCCCATTCGTAGTAAATGCTGAGATTTTCGGGCTACACTTACTCATTCTTTAATTCGAATTTTACATCACACTTGAACAAAATATTGAAAAACCATTTTACAGTTATTATTACACACAATGCTATGCAGTAACATGCTTTCATGTTATATATGAGAGTGTTATTACACTGAGAAATATCTTTGAATTACACAATGCAGTAGGTATCAGTGATAATTCTGTAGTGCATTTGAATTCGTTCTGTTTTGTCAGAGTTATATCAAATTGAGTAGTAACATTGAAATGCAGAGCACAAGAAGAATAGCAGAGTGTTGATTTTATTTCAGATAAAAATTCGAATAAACCCGTCAAATAAACTTATATTTGTATTTGAGCATGTTCTCTCTACTACGTCAGTTACTTAAGTGTTTACACATTACAACGCCGAGCAATGTGGTTTCAACCTACAGTACACTATAGGGTCACTCCATAGACTCTCTCCAGAGAAGCGCTCCTCGTTACTATCATTGGGGTTGCTAGTTCAAATTCAAGCACAATTGGTATTGGGTATTAAAGTTACCATACATCAAAGCGAACAAATGGCATTACACCACAAATTGCTGAAAATGATGGAATTTTTGTTGTTAAATATAGTTCCCTACCACAGTAATATAGTAGCATTTTGCCTGTAGTATGCGGCATTGTATTCGATCGTTGAAAATAAAATTTTATAGAGCCATCAGAATGTTCTTAAATAATTTCTTAAATACATTTTTCTGTTACCATGGGTTGAAAACACACTATTTTGGGGAGTTTGTAAAAGTCAACAAATTTACACTTAATTTTTACAGTAATGGTAAGTGCTGAGCTATTGAAATTATGCATTAAAAATATTGTTATATTTAGTTATTTTGTGATAAATTTTAATTTTCTTACCTAAACATTAAGGAAATTATACAAAAATAAAATCATGAATTTTCATTACACAGAGCTTTCGTATTGTATTCGTATTTCGTATCTACACTCTCCCTTCTCCACACACAATTTTAGATTCCGCATGCCTCAGATCTTCGATAGATAAGAAAGTATGTTCTTACCCAACTGAGGCATCTGATATTTCTAACTAGGTACGTTTGACCAAATTTCCTTAAGGTACTTTGCTGTAAAAGTATGCTGAAATAAATTTTGATACATTTTGCCAAAATCTTCAAATTTAACCTTAATTGAGGGAATAAGGTAAAATCTACGATATTGAATTTACGCATTTATAAACAATGTAATGATGACATGTTATGAGACACGTTTCAATTTTCTTACTTAAATATTAAAAAAGCAATTCAGTGTTTAAATCTGGAATGTTTTTGAACTATACTTTTTTTCGTCGACTTTGCTGCGATTTACCGACTATGTGTTAATACACATGTTAGTTGCCCATTTTTAGTACGCAACATCCCCAGCACTGGTGGGTAGGAGGTACATGTTCTGACCCAATGAAAGGGAATTCATTTACCTACCAATCACCAGAGCGAGATAAATGCGTTTAATAATTAGGAACAAATGCCATAAGTGTATCTTCGTTATATGAGACTTTCTCTCACTGTTGGGCTTAAAGTGGTTATTTTTGATCCCTATATACCTTACAGAATTATTTTGAGCCACATTGTACAGACAGACTTGTATAATAATGGCGCAGATTTAGTCGTCCAAATGTCCTGCGCAGCTTTTTTTGCCAATCTTTTGGTTAGGTTTTAATTAAATTGAAATAGTTTCAATCTCGATATGTACACGCACAAGTATCTCTACGTATTTGTTGTTCCAAAAACCATCGCATTAAAAATATCTTAGATGGATTGTTACCACATAAAATGCACTTCTCATTTTGGATTTGTCTCTAGGCCTCTGATTTGCCATTTTTAAGACCTTCTTGAGACCAATCGAATCTAAGTTAGTGTATGTTACTTCTTCGAATACGCACGTATATACGTAGTATAGAGAGAGTTATGTGGTGCAGCGGAAAATCGACTTCAACGGGAATACACGATTGGGGTTCCACTGATACCGAAAAAGTGTTTTTTTTAAACGTCCCTCCGTCCGTCTGCCTGTAAAAACTACTAGCGCCTAAACCATACGTAGGAATTTTTCCAAAATATATATGTCCCGATCG